TGACTGGAGGAGGAATTATGGGAGTTGAAGTCTACTGCTGTCAAGTTTGAAGACCCCTGAGCTAAATCATGGAAACAGCAACCTTAACTCAAGCAGAAGAGATATACTTCATCACTGGGAAAGGCGTTTGTTTTCCCTTTGTCAAAAATATCCTGCAACTGCTGTCCCTTGTAGGACCCTACTGCTGTCCCAGTAGGACCCTACTGTTCGTTCTCCTGCCAAATTTCTCAAATGCCGACAAATTGCATTAATAGCAATAGCACTTAGACTTATATACCGCTTCACAGTGCTTTCCAGCCCTTTCTAAGCTGTTTACAGAATCAGCCTCTGGCCCCCAACAATCTGGGTCCTCATTTGACCCACCTCGGAAGGATGGAAGGCTCAGTCAATCTTGAGCCTGATGAGACTCGATCTGCCAAATTGCAGGCAGCTGGCAGGCAGCCGAAGCAGTCTGCAGTACTACACTCTAACCACTGCGCCACAGAGCCTCCTGCCTCTTTTAAGGTTTGCCTTGGCCTCTCTAAAGGCAGAATCCCAGGCTCTCAGAAGTGTCCATGCCTCGACAGTCATCCAGGGTTTACAATTCCCATAGATTCTGATGCACTTTTCCGTTGTTACACAGTCAGTGCACACTTCCGGTGTAAGAGAGTACGGCATCCTTGTATTCATGCAGGTCTTGATGTTCAAATACACTCCACTCAGTGGTTTGAAAACAGTCCTGCAGCTGACTGAGAGCACCGTTAATGCCATCATGTCAACCTAAACATTCTCTCTTTTTTGGGTGACCCCACCCAGGACCCGCTCTGCCCACAGGTGAGCAAAATGGATGTCCCTGCTACTGGTTTTTAACAGAAGGACATGAAGGTAGGTAGGTATAGACAATGGGAGGCGATTTCCTCCACCCTGTTTGAAATGAATGCTTGCATGGGGACCACACGGCACAAACCATAGACTCCGCAACCCTGGGGTTAAGATTTGGCTTTTTGTTGCAGACTGGCTTAACGATCATGGCTTCTGACGAGCATCTTTCTGTTCATAAGGGTGTTCCAACAAGAGAATCCTCCAGACCTTCCCGTGTCTATATCAAGGCATAACAACAACTTTGTGTGTAATTTTCCATGAAACTGGCGTTATTTTAGTGCACCATCATCTTTTCATGCCATATAAATAACACACAGCAGGGAAGCAGACACTTCAAGAAACTGGTCCTGAACCAATTTATACTTTAAGTAATCTTTCCACATGATCCTTATTTATTTATTTGATTTATTTGATTTGTCAATCGCTTACAAGGTAATAGGAATAAGCATAAAGATGAGTAAGAGTACAGGAAATAGGTGAGAATAAATGGGGACAATAGGACAGGGACGGGAGCCATGATGGTGCACTTGTGCGTGCCATCTATCAGCAAAGAGGAAGAAACTCGTTCCTTTGCACATTCCTAAAAGTCAGCAGCAAATATCAACTCCTTCACAGCTTCCAGACTGCAATGTCTCCCCCAGGGATACTTGTGCATACCCAGCTTATTCTCTTGTACGGCTGGATGAAGCTTTGGGGACACCTAGGGTGACCTTATTTCCAAGCAGGGCTTGTCAGCATGATTGCAAGCCCACAAACAAAACTGTGGGGGAAATGAGACAGATAACCGATCATCAGAGTTGGAAAGGACCTTGTAGGTCATCTAGTCCAACCCCCTGCCCAAGCAGGAGACCCTATACCATTTCTCACAGATGGCAGTCCAGTCTCTTCTTGAAAGCCTCCAGTGATGAAGCTCCCACGACTTCCGAAGGCAACTTCTGTTCCATGGGTTGATTGTTCTCCCTGTCAGAAAGTTTCTCCTTATTTCCAGGTTGAATCTCTCCTTGTTCAGTTTCCATCCATTGTTCCTTGTCTGGCCTACAGGCGCTTTAGAAAATAGCTTGACCCCCTTCCTCCTCCCTGTGGCAGCCCCTCAAATATTGGACATTTGAAGACTGTGGGGAAAAAAACCCAAGCATTTAAGCCACGGCCCTCTTTCCAAGGATGAAAAGGCCCTCAGCCCCTTCGAGAGGGACATTTTAAAGGGGAGTTTTAGGCTGTAACCCTTTGCTTCGTCTCTCCAGTTCAATCCCACTTCCGCAGAGGAGAACACCAGAGAGCAGCATGTCGTCATATCAAATGGCCAGTGGTGAGATCTGAACTTCACTCTGCCCGAGGCCGTGTCCCTCACCTAAGACCAGCCGGCTTTATTGGAATCTGGCACTTCCGAGAAGCAGCTAGTCAGCCTTTCCTCTCACACACTCTTTATCAGGCTTGCCTGCTCTTACATCTCTGCCAAATGCCTTCTCCTGTTTCTGATGAGAGCTTGAAATTTTCTTGCCTGACTTTCTACAACACCATTTCTCCTCCTCCTTCTCTTTGGCCTGGCAGTTCTTGTCATGACTTTGCACTCTCTGTCTAAAAAGGCTGAATTAAAACCAGATCCAGTAAGGGACCAGCACAACTTTAACGCTTGCCTAGTTTCTCACAAGTCTTACAAAATAAAATGCAGTTTGTGCCCTAAATTTGATTTTTTTTTAATGAATAAGTCAAGAGCATCCTTCTCCATTTCCCTCCATGCTATGCAGGCCCAAAACCTAAAATGAAATTAAAGCCAGAATAAATTTGAACAAAATTTAGTTCTCACATTCCCTTTTTTGGCATGCCGGTATTAGATTAGGAAGCACCCGCAGGATGTGCCAACTATGTCATGCTAGTATCATGTCTCCTTTTATAAATAAACCACAGGAAACTGCTGTAGGTTCCGCTTGGTTTTTCCAGATACAGTCTCAAGTCTGGACATTTCTAAAATGCCGGTTTCATAAAAAGAAGCTTATTTATTTGGCTCTCAGTTATGCAGCTTCCTTCCAAAAACTTTGGGAATTTTTCCTCTGTTAATTAAAGTGAGTGCTTCAGTGTATCATCCATTATTTTTCATCATCTCAAGTCTTTTCCAAGATTCACAAAATAGCAAAGTCAACTAGGCAGAGAACTAACTAACCTCAATATTATGAAGGAGCAACTGCTGGACTTTCTACCAAGGGATTAATCCAGTTCTCATAACCCTCTGATAACAAGCTGGGTTTATTAGAAGAAGGAAGTTTCTGACAGCTTCATTCCAAGCCATTATTTACAAAGAAGAGTCAAAGGGGCAAAATGCAACATCCCAGAGTTTTCTATTTTAAACAGAGAAAAAGGCTCCTTTTTTAGATCCTGAAATGTTGTGCCATGTTAAAATAAACATGGAGATGAGCCTTGCAAAAGTATCGCTTGTTAGCCAACTCCCCACCCGACCTCTCTTAGCTCTGCTCAACGGGCCCCCATGATATGCAAGAGGTAAGAAAGGGCATTGCAAGCTGGAAAACAATGACTAAGCACCTCGTTTTGGGTACTTCCCTAGTGGTCGTAGCACGAAACATCACAACGTCATAAGCGAGGACATACAGGAGGCCGCAAGAAGAAAAGAGGTTCTCAAAGATCACAAAACATGGATGTCCAATTTGGCATTGGAACGGTTGTCTCTGAAGCTCCAGAGGGTCACATTTTGGCATTGGATATGACCTTGCTGTCCTAACCCATCCAATCTTCCCTAAGAAAGCATCCTGAGGGACACACATGGTGTCTACAGGTTAGATCCATCTTAACCGCAAGAACCGAGTTTGGGAGGTAAGGTCATGGCTGCTCTTGGACCTGAATTATTCTCAAGGCAACTGGACCTTCAAGATCCTGGAACAGGAACCCCTCCATGTTTAATGGACGTAGCCACCCTTCCTCAAAGTTCAGAGATATTTCTCCAGCGCACAGGGATTTCTAGCAGAGACATTTGCTTCGTGTTATTTTGCATGTAAAAAACAGCTGTAAACACCTTACAGTAACATACATTAAAGAAGAAAAAAAACCCCACACAATCTTTCAAAATATATAAACCTACAGCAAGTCATTTGCCCAGCCCTTAAAATGCTATCAAGAGAAATGCTCCAATAATATGGATTGATCATTAAGAATGTTCTCTGGCTTTTTCCTTTGAAATAAAATAGAGAATATGTTTTTAAGATGTTTATCTAATTTCCTTTTCAAATGCCCATCGATACCTCTGTAAAATGTGCATTTTCTCTGCACTAATTTATTACGTAGGCGATCTCACCTGTGGAAGAGATCAGTTAAACCCCACTGTTTGGATTTATTCTGAGAGGCTGATGGAAAAAAAAAAATAGCCTTCAGTATTTACCAGGGAGCTCCAGCAGGCATATCTCCACCTCAGTGTCCATGGGAATTGGGACCTTCCACCCGATAAGGTGGCTTGCAAGAAGAAAGACCACCCAGTGATGTCAGTTTTACCCTCCAAAGTAGCTCCATTTAGTGGAATTGCATGGATTGATAAGGGCTTGAGGGTTGCAACTGGTGTCATGGGAAGTCACTAACATGTTTACCTGCTTTTAATATACCGAATATTTCATAGAAGGGCTCAACCAAAGCCAAGTATCCATACGGAAAGCAAACCCTCCCTTCTGGCAATTCACTCAAGAGCCATCTGCGAGATTCTCCTCCGTTAAAAACAAAACAAAACGCCCATCCTCAAAGCCAGGTTTTGGAGAGAAAGTTGCTTTCCCTCTCGGAACAGAGCCTGAAAAAAACAAAAAGAAAGAAAGAAAAACCCTGCCCAAATTAAAAAAGGCTTTGCTTGATGAAAGCTCTGCTTGGGTGGGATGGGCAGGTGGCGGGGGGGGGGGGTGTCTCTGCGCCCAGGCAGAGATCTTGAAGCCTCTCCCGAGCCTTTCATCTCAGCAATTCGACCACACAAAAGCCATCGCAAAGCAACACTTGCTTCCCGGCAAGGGAACACACCCATCGGTGCCTCCTTGCAACAAACAACAGCCAGCATCTTCTGTCCTCTTGCCAGAAAACCCGCACTCGCGACAGGAGAAAATAAGAGATAAGGGGAAAGGGTGGGGTTTTTTTTGTGTGTGTGTTGGTTTATTTACCTTTTTGCCCTTCTTCTTCCGATGGGCAGGTTTCGCTGGCTTCTCTTTGGCTTCTTCACTCATTTTTCAGCCCAGCCAATACTCCTCCACCGATCTCTCCTGGGCATGCCAAGATCCAGAGGCGATGGAAACCAAAGCCCATGTGCCGAGGTCGTTTCTCAGACAAGAAACCAGCTAAGTCTGCTTGAACCCGGCCCCGGCTCTTCCCCAGGAGAGCCCACCGCCTGCCGGCCACTCGGGAGTTGCCTTGTTGGCTTGCTTGCTTGTTTGTCGCCTCTCTCTCTCTCTCTCTCTCTCTGCTCAGGAGCCGAGACAAGCCACGATTCCCCGGCCCCTCCTCGCTTGCTTTGTTCGCCCGCCGTCGTCCCCGGGGCAGGTTCTTGGCAAGAGTCCGCTCGCTCGGTCCGCCCAGACAGCCGCCTCCACTCCGAAGGCGACCGGGCCAGCCAATGATCGGCTCCTCCTGCGGGATGGAGAAGCCGGCGGCGCTGGAGGCGCTCCGCTTGCCCGCGCACGAAACGCCAGCCCCGCGTGCTGGGAAAGCGACTCCCGCCGCCGGAGCCGGGAAAGGGAGACGGGCGGGGTTGGGGATGATCTGCAGCCGGATCTATTCCTGCTTGCCCGATCGGTTCGACAACGGCTCTGCGCTCGCGGGGGAGATCAGATGCCCAGAGAACCTGCCCCGAAGGGCGGCCGCTCCCGTCTCCACCCCTCCCCGACGCGGACTTCCCTTCCCCTGGGAAGAGTCGGCCTGACGTGTCCACAAAACAGGTTGGCTGTGGCCCTCCCTGTGCTGCCGGTCAGTGGGGTATTTGCTGGTATTTACTCCCTGGCTCCCCTCTCACTGCGCCACCGCCCCTTAGAGAAAAAGGGCAGATCCCCAGGCATTGGGGGGGGAGGATGGGGGGTGTCAGGACCAAACCCCACCCACACACACACACACAGAGAGATGGGATTTGTCCAGAAAACGGCTTTGGCAAAGCACACCTCAGGACTCTCAGGTCATCCAGAAAATGGTCAGCACCACGATTGCGTCACTCCTAGACCCTGCCCCCTTTCAAAAGTGGGGTGGTGGTGGTGGTGGGAAACCCCTTTTTTGTCGTCGTTGTCGCCCCCCCCCCCCCCCCCCCCCCTCTCACCCCCCCCCCCCCCGGGAGGGGGGCCGCCCCCCCGGCCCCCTTCCCGGCCCCCCCCCCCCCCCCCCCGCCAACCCCCATTCAGGACCCTCCAGCGTGGCAAGACAGGAGGGGCGTCACTGCAATGCAGGTCCTCTCATTAGCCTCCAGGTGGAGGCAACCAATCCTCGCTTCATCTGAAGGCCAAGCAGGCCACCAGCCCAGGTCACAAAGGGGAGGCATCCAGCCAGCAACATCTGGCTTAGCGTTCTGCAACTGAGAGAAGACATGTGACACCAAAGGAAGGAATGTCCTTTTGCTGCCAGGCTGAATCTAGATGGTGATGGTGATGGTGATGGTGATGGAGGAGGAGGAGGAGGAGGAATGGAATGGAATGGAATGGAATAGAATAGAATAGAATAGAATAGAATAGAATAGAATAGAATAGAATAGAATAGAATAGAATAGAATAGAATAGCTTTCTTGGCCAAGTGTGATTGGACACACAAGGAATTTGTCTTTGGTGCAGATGCTCTCAGTGTGCATAAAAGAAAAGATACATTCGTCAAGAGCCAAGAGTCATCGGTTCCAACACTTAATAATAGTCATAGGGTACAATAAGCAAGAAGGAGAAGGTTTATTCCAACTAGTAATTGACTTCCATGGGATCAGCAGGGCTTCCTTTGAGCTCATCTCTCTGACAACTTTTGGAACTCAATCTAGTTTCAAGGCCTTCCTAGACAGCGGTTTCATTGCTCTGTTCCTCTCCTAAGCCAACCTGTGGGCAGAATAACCTGCATCTTCCACCCATTAAGCCTCTCTAGCTCTAGATCAGCTGGCATCCTTCTGAAGCTCTGGTTGGCCATGCCAAAGGCTCCGAGGCCTGGGAGAGGAAGGGAGTTGAAGATCAAGATTTCTGTATAACATCTCCTTGGGCTGGCTGCTCAGCATCTTGTGCAGCTCCAAATCCTTAATAATCTGGCAGAGTGCTGGATTACCACTTGAAGGGTGTGCAATGTACTGTATATGCATTCTTTGCTGGTTCCAGTAAGCAACTGTATTCAGTACTAGGTATGTAGCTCTAAGAAGACTGATGACATTTTCACACACAAAAACTCATTTATGATGTGACCAGTGTATTTACAATCAGTGTATATACAATCAGTGTATTTGCTAGAATCAGAAAAAGCTTTAGAGGTAGACATTATTATATACAATCTATAAATCATTGAATCTTCTAACAACATTTGATTAAGTATTATTTTCTATAGATTCTTTTTATCCAGAGAAGAAAAACTCAAAAGTACTGAGTGAAAACCAAGTGCTCTACAGGACTGGAAATATTCTGTGGGTCAAAGTAGACCAAGAAACACTTAACTGAAGAACCAGGAACAAAGACATGTTGATGTTCTCCTGACTTATCATTCCCAGCACCGCCATGACTGTGGCAAAAGAGAGAGAGTGACTTCCAGTCTAAAATCTGTAATCTTTGACAAAAAGCACTTGGTCTTCCTTGGTTCCAACAGTCCGGAATGCACTTGGTCACACAATGGAATCTCTCTCCTCTATATGTGTGCTTCCCTCTCCACCCCTAGAAAGATCAGTCTGTAGGTGGAAAACCAAACATCAGACAGACATATCCACTCTACCCTTACACATCCAACTACTAGCCGTTGGTGCTAGATGGGAGCATCTGTTCCAGAAGGATGAAGGGGCATAGTCCAGAGCAGTGCTTCTCAACCTTGGCCACTTGAAGGTGGGTGGACATCTATTCCCCAGCCAGCATAGGTAAAGCATAGCTGGCTGAGGAATTCTGGGAGTTGAAGTCCACCCATTTTTTAAGTGGCCAAGGTTGAGAAACATTGATCCAAATGAAGGTTCATTCTCTCAAGATGAAAGAAACAGACAAAACCCATTTATTCTGCCTTCCTTTTTACTCTTTAACAGACTAAACAGTCTCTTCCCTTGATTTGATTTCTTCCTTCTGATATTAAGCTGTAGGAAGTGCTCTCTGCTGGCTGATTTGGAAAAAAAATAACACTTAAATAAAAATAACACTTAAATAAAAAATAAAGCTACCAACTCAAAAACAAACAAACAAAGCCAAGTGACTTTGCTGTGGAAAAACAGGGAGGCCACTTCACAAGGGGAGCCCTAAAATATTTTAGGTGTCTATGTGGGAAAAGGTTTAAATGGCTAAAAATGACGCAGAGAGTTACCCAAGTCACACTTGCAAAGCCACAAAGAAAGGCTCCTTGTTAAACACAGACTTTAATTAAACCAACCAGATACGTAATTTGACCGTAGGAAATATTGAAACTCGTGTAATTTCAATAGGCACAAAGACTCACAAGTGCTCTATGTTCCCTAGATGTACAATTTCCAAAGCTGCTGGCTAAATTCAAGTTGTACTCTTTAAATTCAGATTTCTTTAAACGCGCACATATATTTTACGAGAAGACCCATCAGCCTTGGAGGATGCTTTAGTTATAATTATTTCTTAAATGCCCTGATATGATGTTCCTTCACATGTTCCTTCTCTCCCCGAGCATCACAAGGCCCCGGTTCTCCGAAGGGCAAGCATAAATGGCGGCCATTCCCTTTGCTAAGACGTAGCTTGAGTGTAACTTGGTTTATGCAAGAACCTCTCAAAATCCCGGCAATGCAGATCCACTGGCAGATTTCTATTTTGGGATCAAACATAACTCGCCTAAGAGGACAACAGGGGAAGCCAAGAGAGGTCCACCAGGACAGTTCTATTTATAGACTGGACTCGTGGAGCAGGGGGAGGCATGTTAACCCTGGGAGGGAGAAGGCGGCCTTGAGGGAGAGAAATGCGCCTTGGGCCACCTCCACCAGCAACAAGGGGGCACCTTCGTCCCTGGGGCAAGAGGGGGGAGCGATGGGCAGCTTCTTCCCAGGGTTGTTGAAGCCCCAACAGGGGCTGATCTGAATTCTTTGGAAGGCCCCAATGTCCTTGCAGAAACTCCCTTGCCAGTAGCTTGAGTGGACCTGGCTGCCCTGAGGCCCCAGTGCTGCTCTCTTGGCCATTTGCTTAGCCTGGTAGGGGTGAGGCCACCTTCCCAACAGCTGTGGCAAGCTTCCCAGAGAGAAGGGGGAGGCAGGCAGGCAAGGAGCCGCCCCAATAAAATGGACTTTCTTCATTAATCCAAATACAAATGTATTGTTCTGTGAAACTGAGCCTCCTAACTATAAAGACATACTAAAATCATAACTCTCAAAGCTGCAAGGACAGCTCGGTGTATTTTGACTCACAATTCCATCATTACTTGCGTGTAACATTCAGGTTTCCCCCTCGTTTTAATTGTTCCATTACTCAATTAAAGCACTGATTGATCAAGGAAACGGTGGCCAAGACCCCTCCATACATATTCTGGAAAGGCAGAGCTGGAAAGGAACAGAAGGATCATTTTGTCCAACCCTCTGCAAAGTTCAGGGAAACCCATAAAACTGTCCCTCCATGGGGTCTGCATAGGTAACCATGGGGAGGCTATGACTATTAATCAATGTCTTCTATCCCAGAAAGTGCAGGTAGAGCTCTGTGTGATTTGTATAAAACCCCCAAATAAATAAGTAAAGACAAAGAAAGTATCCTGGCTGACACTGTGCTAACCTGTTCTCCCCTTCCAAGTTTTTTGTCATTTATATATACAATTTTACAGAGGGGAGGAGGGAGGGAGGGAGGGTGGGAGATTTGGTTGAGTTGACTTTTCCAAAGCTAAAGTTATCCAATTTTAGAATGCTGTTTACATCATTTTTTATTGTTAATTTATATAATTTAGAACAGGGGTCTCCAACCTTGGCAACTTTAAGCCTGACAGACTTCAACTCCCAGAATTCCTTTGCTGGCTGGGTAATTCTGGGAGTTGAAGTCTGCCAGGCTTAAAGTTGCCACGGTTGGAGACCCCTGATTTAGAAGGCACCTGA